GGGTCCTCCTGCAGCTGACATTCAGCTGCAGGAAAGGTTAAGGGGAGCCCCAGGGCAGGAGCGGGTGCTTCCAAGGGGAGGCTGTCCTCTCATGTGGGGCAGGGTGGGAGGCTGTGGGGCTGGTGGGGGAAGGCCTGCAGCCACCTCCCTTCTGCTGCAGGTACTATGGGGGAGCCGAGGTGGTGGACCAGATTGAGCTGCTGTGCGAGCAGCGGGCTCTGGAGGCGTTCGACCTGGATCCTGCGCGCTGGGGCGTCAACGTTCAGCCCTACTCAGGGTCTCCAGCCAACTTCGCAGCCTACACAGCCCTGCTGCAGCCCCACGACCGCCTGATGGGGCTGGACCTGCCTGATGGGGGCCAGTACGTAGCGGGGTGGGGCAGCCTGGTGCCTCTTGGGGGGGCCCAGCCTGATCCTGTGCCTCTGCCTTTCCCTGCAGCCTCACCCACGGGTACACGTCGGACCTCAAGAGAATCCATCTTCTTCGAGTCGATGCCCTACAAACTTGACGTGAGCCAAGGGGGGCAGGTTCCTGGGGGGAGGGGGGATCTGCCGGTCGAGCTGCTCATCCCAGTGGTGCCCCTGTGATGCCTGAGCCGCTCTGCCATCCCCTGCCTTGCTCTCCCTGTGTCCCAGCCATGTCCCGGTGCCATGGGGTGCGCGGGAGCTGCCTGTGGTTCAGCCAAATGTGCTCTGCTCTGAGCTGGGGACAGGGACGTGCCTCGGCAAGCTGTCTGTCTGTCTGTCCCTCACAGCCAGCCACAGGGCTGATTGACTATGACCAGCTGGAGGTGACAGCACGGCTCTTCCGTCCTCGTCTTGTCATTGCCGGCACCAGCGCATACGCCCGCCTCATCGACTATGCTCGCATGAAGAAGGTACAGGGCGGCAGGCTCCATCCCACGCAGCGGGAGCTCTTGTGCCTGCGTCAGCTTGAGGACAGTCATGCCCTGCTCCTGGCCATGGGGACAAGGACAGCCCGTGACCCCCATGCCCCACGTCCACAGGTGTGCGAGGAGGTGAAGGCCTACCTGCTGGCAGACATGGCGCACATCAGCGGGCTGGTGGCAGCCAAGGCCATTCCTTCGCCCTTCGAGCACGCGGACCTGGTCACCAGCACCACGCACAAGACCCTGCGCGGCGCCAGGTGAGGCTGTGTCCTGGCCCCCAGCCACTGGAGGGTGCCCGCCCGTGGTGGGGGAGTGCGAAGCAGAGGATGCGCTCGGTGCTCTGGCTGGGGCCAGAGCTGGGAGGGAGGGTCCCGTGGGAGGGTGGGAGCGCTGTCGGCGCTAAGCCCCTGCCATGGGGGATGGCGGGCAGGCAAGAGAAGCAGAACCCACTCTCTCTTGCTGCCAGGTCAGGACTGATCTTCTACCGCAAGGGCGTGCGGTCGGTGGACAAGAAGACGGGCAAGGAGACGCTCTATGACCTGGAGGACAGGGTCAACTTCGCTGTCTTCCCCTCCCTGCAAGGGGGACCCCACAACCATGCTATTGCTGCTGTAGCCGTGGCCCTCAAGCAGGTCTGTGCTGGGCTGGTGGGCTCAGGGCTGGGGGTGACCGGGGCCCCACACTGACGTGGTCTCACCCCACCAGGCCAGCTCGCCAGCTTTCCGCCAGTACTGCCAGCAGGTGCTGAAGAACGCCAAAGCCATGGCGCAGGCCCTGCTCCAGCGTGGGTACACCCTGGTATCAGGTAACGCCTCGTTCCTCGCGCTTTTGGGGACCGGGAGGGACGAGGCTGTGGTAGGTCGTGAGTGGCACCACTTGGTCTCGGAGCCCCTAGGCAGCAGTGGGGAGCGTGGCAGGGTGGGGGGCAGAGGAGCGGGTGCCAGGCAGAACTTGGGAGGTGGCACAGGGGCAGTGCTGCAGAGTGGGGAAGGGGCTGGGGTTTGGCGGTGAGGACAGGGAGTGGCTGGGGTGCTCGGGGCTGGCTGTCGCTGCTCACCCCTTTCCCTTGCTCCCCAGGTGGCACCGACAACCACCTGGTGCTGGTGGAGCTGCGGCCCAAGGGCATTGACGGCGCACGGGCTGAGCGGGTGCTGGAGCTTGTGTCCATCACTGCCAACAAGAACACGTGCCCCGGGGACAAGAGCGCACTCACGCCGGGGGGGCTGCGCCTGGGTGAGGGACGGCCCCTGCTTGGGGGGGGTGTCCCTGCCTCCATCCAGCCCCAGGCTTTCACCCTGGGGCATCCCCCCTCTGTTTCACCCCTCTTTGAGGACTCCACGTGGGAGTTTGCAGCCAGTTTCTGACTCGGAGCGGGGCATGAGAGCACATGGGGGCCAGGACTTGGGGAGCACCTTGGTGGGACTGGTTTCTGCAGATGGTGCCCCCGAGCAGCTCCCAGCCCTGATGGGCTCTGTCCCCCAGGTGCCCCCGCACTGACCTCCCGCCACTTCCATGAGGACGATTTCCAGAAAGTTGTGGCCTTCATCGACGAGGGCATTGCGCTGGCCCTGGATGTCAAGAGCAAAACCAGTGAGCAGGGGCCCCCATCTCCCCCCTTCCTGGGTGCCAGCCGGCACCTCTCCCTCTGCGTTGCGGGACTGCGCCCCAAGCTGGTGCCAGCCTCCCCCCCTGCCTGGGCAGGGATGGGCCTGCAGCAGTGTTCCCCTGCCCTTCTCACCGTCTCCCCCTCTGCCCCCAGGCAAGCTCCAGGAGTTCAAGACCTTCTTGCTGCAGGATGCGGAGACGCAGCAGCGCTTGGCCAGCCTGCGCCAGCGTGTGGAGACCTTTGCTCGTGCCTTCCCCATGCCTGGCTTCAGCGACCACTGAGCGGGGGCTCTCACCGCTCCTGCCGGGCCGGGACTGCCAGGGGGCAAGGGGAGGCTTAAAACCACCCCCTGCATTCCCCACTCCCCTTCGTCCCCCGCCAGCACCTTTGGGATCGGGTACTCCCTCCCCAGGGTGGGGGGTGGCCCACCCCAGTCCCGCTCTCAGTGTTAGGGTACATAGACCCCCCCAGACTCTGATGGGGGGGAGGGACCAGTCCTTGATCCAGCCTTGTCCCCTCTGTCCAAGCAAGTCTTGCACTTTTCTATGGGGAGGGAGGGTTGCTAATAAAAGTGGGGGCAGAGCCTGCCAGCGTGGAGGTGTGTGGGTGCTGAGCCGCGGAGGGAAGGTTGGTGACAAGGCAGTGTGGGGGACAGTGTCCTGAGGGCACCGTACCAGGGTGCTGTTGGTGGATGTGGGGCACAAAGCCCTGGGTCTCACTGTCCACGGTTGTGCCTCAGTGTCCCCCATCCCTTTTTCTCTACCCCGGTGCTGCTGTGGAGGAGGAGAGGTGGGAGTTACGCTGAGCCCTGGATCGAGACCGGTATGGTGGGGGGCCGTGGCCCGGGCTTCCCTCCTTGCTGCAGGGTGCTGAGCTGCTGCGGGGGCCCTCTGGCTGCCCGCAGCACTGGGGGGCTGGAGGCGCGGGCGGGCGTGGCGCCTGCCTGCTCCCCAGCGTGTCCCCCTCTCCTGGGTCATCTGTCCGTGTTTGCTGGCCGGGGGTTTGCCCACATGGCCCCAGCCAAGCCGAAGGCTGCCAGGAAGGACTCCCCTGTCCCAGGACACGCACATGTGTCCATGTGCACATGTGTGTGAGCCCTTCCAACCCTCCCGGCTCATTTCCTCTCCGGAGGGGCTGGGTTGGGACCGGGGTGGTCCCTGGGCAGCTGCTGGGGCCCTGGAGCGTGGGAGAGAGGAGATG